GAGAGAGAGAGAGAGAGAGAGCAGAGAGAGAGCAGAGAGAGAGAGAGAGCAGAGAGAGAGAGAGAGAGAGAGATACACGAACGAGCATCAGATACACTTTAACTCTGAATCATGCGCAACCAATTTTTGACTCCGGCCGCCAAGCTGCCTCGCCGATCGGTAAAAACAGAATACAAAACAAAACATTTCAAAACCCTAGTGCATCTAACCGTTATTACGCAGGCAAATTGCAGCGATTTGAGACGACATTTCTAGTCCCAGACAAGTTATCTATCTCGCTCACGGTGTTTGCCTTTGCGGTCACAGAGCCCTCCCTCTCTCCGATCTCCCGACAACACGGCCGCCGAATCAATCGTCCTCGGAGAACACTCGCAAAGACTTCGTGCAAGAGCAGGTCTGGGGCAGAGTATATTATTGCAACAACCGATTTCCCATATATCAAAGTGGCACAGACAAAACAAAACAAAAAAAGGGGGAGGGGGGGGCAACGAGAACCAGAACGAAAATGGTGAGAGAGAAAATGTTAAAAGACTTTTATTACTTTTGAACTCAAAGACTGCACTACCCGTGAAAAATACGCTCAAACAATGACAATAGACACATAACAATTTTGATCGAAGCGAATGCAAACGTTTTACGTTCCCATCGACAAAAGTAAGATCCTTGAAAAGACGGACCGACCTTTCGACCCTGCTTGCTACAGCGAAGCCGAGCGGAGTGGGATAAAGCATCCCGGCATCCACAAAAAAAGACTCAGCCACGCCGCAATCGAACTCTGCGGTTTTTTTTGCTAGAAAAGGTGAAGAACATGTTCCATAAACGGTAAGTCGGAGGAACCACACCGCCTAAAATCTGAATAAAACAACAGAACATATAATAGTATGTTTAGAGCAAACATGCATGATATTAATTCACTCTGTAAGGATGTAGCGGACACATTATTTTAACCGGTAAGTAGCAGAATATTGCGGCATACTTCAAACCATCATACACATTTCAGAAACATGAGTTTGTACGGATCATATTACATGTATATGTTCTTGCTTGTTTTTTGTTGTTGTTTTTTGTTGTTTGTTGTTGTTGTTGTTGGGGGTTTTTTTTGGGGGGGTTGTTTTTTTTTTATGTTTTTTTTTTTGGGGGGGTGGTAGGTTTCAAATAAATTTATAAAAACATAAGGACAATGTTGAGTAAATATACTACAAAGTACGACGTGTCTTCAAGCGTTGTCGCATGGCATGACCAGCATGTGAGTACTCAACGAGTTATAAAACTCTGATAGTAAAGCAGGCTGTTCTGCCATTCTTCTTTCTCGTTTCTGTCCTCCCACAACATTCCTGCTTCGACCTAGTCTTGCCTCCAACCCGAGCGTTAAGCTTCACACAAAAACAAAGCTTGCTTTACCTCCGAGAGAGCCGCAGCATTATTTTTCCCAGGACGACGGGAGTAGTTAAATGGAATGCGGTCATCCCCCGTCTCTGTCCCCTGGTCCCAGTTTTCCCTCCCTTACACACACTCCACAGCAACGGCCGTGTTGACATTTTTTCGGGTCGAGAACAATTAATTCTAGTTGCGTCTTGTTTACTTGTTTGTGTGAGTTAAAGCGTAGCGCATAGCACAGAAACGGCCATTTTTCAGCCGGGCAAAAAGCTAGGCGACAGACGTAAATAGCAGACGTGGAAAAAAACCCTAGGCCAGAAAAGAGGACGGGGGGGGGGGGGCAATGAGCAGTCCCACCAATCAAGAGCGCAACCTCCCCTTTTGCTGGGTGCTGCTCATATGGCACAATCTCTTTGACATAGGCGCGGAATGTTTTCTCTGCACTTGCTATGTCTTCCACCAAACTCTCTGTCAGTACAAGGTCCACTTTGGGCTGGAGTTTTAAAAAAAAACAACCCCAGAGACAATAACGGTTGTTTTTGCCCTTTAATGCAGGGACAAAGTAAGACAAATGGACAGAAACATCTCCTGGGTTTTTGTTTGGGGTTTTTTCGGGG